TCATTCATTTCACGCTCCTCAGGGGACACATACAGAGCGTGGGCATCCGGGGACAAGAATGTTTCTTCCATCGCCACGTCCATGTCGCCGTAGTCTACTTCAACGAAGAATTCAGCGTCCAGCGGTTGGCCATCTTCCCCGAAAATCCGGATCACCGTCGGTTGCTCCGGAACCAATCCCCTTTAAAAATAAATACTTTTAGTACATTTATTCCATATCGGTGAGATACAGAAAATTAGTAGTCGTAAATAATATAAGCCAATGAACTTACGATTGCAACGACGTGTTCAGATATATCGGGGATCGTGACCTGTCGTGAGACGCTGAAGGACGTGGCGATGAATCCTAAAATATTCAAACATTAAAACCACAGAAACCCAACTGTAAGAATAAAAATATTTCATATTGAACAAAAAAAAGTATTACCATATGCGGCAGCCTCCTCGCAGGGCGCTCTGGTGACGTGAGAGGAAAGTAAGGGGGAGCCTCCGGTGAGGGCGACCGCTCCGGTAAACCCTCCCATGGCTCATCCTAAATATACAAAAAAACATGCAAATACACCACAACCCATAACCAATATATCACCGAAAACCATAATAAAAAGATAAAAGCAGTACCATTCCTGGAAAGCTCCCCATGCAAGTCGGCGGCGATGAATGATAAACATTCGATTGAAAGACTTCATTCTAAAATAAAAAAATAAATTCATGCGAAAAATTCCCATCCAAATGCAATAAAAATAAAATAATTCACAAACTAATAAAAAATATTATTTAAGGCAAACCTTCATCATCATCTTCAATGAACTCCTCGTATTGATCGCCGCTCTCCTCTTCGACGTCCGGATCTTCCTCGTCAAACAATAAATTGAGGAAGTCCGCCGGAGGCTGATGATTTACCCGCCAATTCGACATGCTATAAAACGAAAAGTGTAAAAAGTATCACATACTTACGTATTACTATGTACCCTTAGATCTGTTCAATTGATTTTATTTTGAGAAATATAAAATACATATACATATAATATATAAATAAATTCATTATAGAGCTTTAGAAAACTATGTTATTCATGTAAAAATAAATATACAATAAATATAAAATACCGCTATCACGATCGATGATGGCAAAATTTTATCGACAAGATTATCGACACAGAAGTTTCCCTAGTGAAAACTTAAAAAAAAAAGTTTCATACCAATTTCGTCCTTAGCCCAATACAAATAAGGACCAAAATGGCTTATGAAAAGAAAACGACCGTTACTCGTAATTTTTTGTCAAGTTTTTTTTACTATTATTGAACAAAAACATTACTATATCGTAGTATACACGATTCTAATCACTTTTTACAATAGTTTCATTACTTTCACTGATTAGAATCACCATAATTTACACGAAAATCGCAAAACATATTCACAAACTATAACGGCTTTATTTATTATTTACAACAATGTATTTCATACAAATTATACGGTAAGGAGTATGATTATATGCTAAATAATAAATATATAATAACAAACAATACTTACATGAGTAAAATTATAGAGTCTTCAATATAGGTATTTCTCACAGTTCAAACGCTTCGCGCACCAAAATTTGCAGTGAATGTCAAGTCAACTGATGTCAACTAAAAAAAAGAACATCGGAGCATAGATTATAAAAAGTAATGGATACGAAATTTATCTATGACCATAGATAACCATACTTGTCCATATAAAAGTAGCCTCTAAGCACCGAAAATATCGTTTATAACGCAGTGAGTGAGAGCGGTCACCGGTGACCGCTTGGTATTTGACGGATTCACGGCGGTGCTCAGCCCACGCAGGGCATTCCGCTACGGTGTGTTCCACCGTGTCCTCAGGGCGGTCCTCGCAGTGATGACACCCGGGCGTTTCCTCCCGCCCCAACAGACACAGGTACCTCCCGAAACTTCCATGTCCGGTGAGGACCTGTGTCAGGCGGTAGGTGAGGACGCCGTAGCGTCTCTCAAGCCACTCCTCAAAGAGGGGACTTACCGCTGCAATGGCAGCGATACCAGCCCTCGGTTGCGACAGTCGTTGCTGCCATTCCGCCATGAGATCGCGCCGGAGCTCATCCCGCCATGCACTTATCTGGCGAGGCAGCGGAGTTTCACCCCGGCGACGTGCCTCCGCGCGCATGCGATACACGCGCGCGAGCACCTTCGCCTCCAGATCCCACGGCGGTTATCCAGCAAGGAGGTTCGCCGACTCCCCAGAGATCGTGCGGTATCCGCGGATCATTCGGATCGCCATGACCCTCTGTGCCATAAGCAGCGCCCGAGCGGGCCGCCGCAGCAGGTTCGGCGCCCAAACAGGGGCGCCGTAGAGGGCCATGGACCGCACGACCCCGGCAGGGGTGGAACACATAAACACCGTAGTTGGTATGGTGGGGTGCTCACCCCTATTCATTGAAGCTCATATGCAATGCATTGGTCAGAAGTGTAATGGACTATTGTTGCTTCCTTATCGTACCTTGCAATAAGGAAGCATTAAAAAAACTAGACTCCATTCAATCCAAATGCCTTAGAATAAATATTGGAGCTATGAAATCATCCCCATAAACGCTCTTCAGGTTGAATGTGCGGAGCCTCCTCTCAACCTTCGAAGACAATACCTTGCAGACCGCTTCATCTCAAAAGTCCTCTACCTCTCATCACATCCCCTTCTCCCTATCCTAGATCAAATCCACTGTTCCTACAGCTCCTCTTCCTACTGGAAAAATAAACCTGTCCCTCCCGTGATTGCTAGGTACAGGGAGCTTAAAAACCTCTCTGCACCTATCAGTCAATATCCTGTGCTCCCAGTGTTTTCTTCCGAATATGAGGTTATCCACTTTAGACCGAAGCTGATTTAAGGGCTTGGCATTTCGAAATCCACCGTGAATGCTGCCTTGAAACGTGCCTTGGACAAATACTGGAGAGGCTGGAATACTTTCTAGATGCGTCTAAATTATCCCGAATCGGATGTACAGGAGTGGCAGCGTACTTCCAAAATTCGAGGATCGCTCTCCTCTCCAAGTGTCCCCCGGAGGCATCAGTCTTTACGGGTGAATGTGCGGGTATTTTGGAATCACTCAAATTTATCAGAGCTCACAATGTCAAAAATTCCGTAATTTTTCTGATTCCCGAAGTAGCCTACAGTCCCTTAACCAAGATCAGCTCCATTTCCGAACCCATAGCAGTTTGGTTGTTGAGATAAAGCCGCTTCTTCTATCCTGTTTCAATGATGGCCTAAACATCGAGATTGCTTGGATTCCTGACCACTCTGGCATATGCGGTAACGAGTGTGCGAATTCATTAGCCAAATTTGCGGCCTCGAACGATGTCGAACGTCAACACTACGTGGTGTACGGGTATGATGTACGTGCTGACACCAAACACAAGCTTTTTGACTCATGGGCTGCAGTGTGGGTAGACTCTACCAAAAGTAAAGGAGCCTACTATGCAAGTGTCTAGCCGGCATCCGGCGGAGGCCTTGGTTTTCCAAGTACCCTAAGCTCCCCCGCCACACTGTTTCATCCTTGTGCAGACTCAGACTCGGCCATTGTAGTAGACCAGTCTTCCTCAACAAGATCCCTGTCCGCGACAACTCGCTGTGTGAATGCGGCCTTGACGACGGAACTGTAGACCATATATTTTTTTCGTGTCCCTTAAATTCCCAATCTTTTGACCTTTATAAAAAACTCCCTAGTATCCAAATCCCACTTCCAATTAATTTCCACCTCCTTTTAACTCACTTTTACCCTAAATTAATCCATTGTTTATGCAGATTTATTAATGACTAGCTTCTGCCAGCGGCTTCGCCCGCGATCTCAGGGGTAAAATGCCTATGTATCACTTCAGACCATAATCTACCTCTGTTCCGAATTTCATTCCGGTCCCTTCAGTGGTTTTAATATGACTGAGTAACAAACATACACATAAACTCACATATTTTCATTTATAATATCGAGTCAAGCTAATTTCAACCATTGGCCTTTCAGTTACAGCGTAATGTCTATGAATGAGTATTGTAAACGTTAGAGTAGACAAATACAATCAGAAATCACCGAATTGCTAAGCTATCGTGAGTTTCACGTGTTATTGTGAGTCAACCATAAAAGATAGACATATGCTGTCGAGGACATATGCTTCTGTCATATATGATTTCTATGCAGCTTTAACCTATAAGCCTGCACACGCGACGGAAGCTTAAAAAATGGAGTAACTTCTCCCGTTTTCCCAATATTTCCCTTCACTGCTCTGCTCCTTTTGATCGTAGCGTAATGAAAAGTATACTATAACCTGCCCAAGAGTATGAAGAATAATTGTGCCAAATTTCGTTAAAATCCATCGAGTAGTTTTTGTTTCCATAACGAACATACAGACAGACAGACAGACAGACAAAAATTTTACTGATTGCATTTTTGGCATCAGTAGTGATCCCTAACCACCCCTTGATAGTTATTTTTTAAATATATTGTATGTACAGAATTGACCTCTCTACAGATTTATTATAAGTATAGATAATGAGATTAAATTCAATCTACCGTCACCACCCGACACTGGCAGTATAGTCGACAATATCGTATTGGAGACTCGGTTGCCAAAGAAGAAAAAAACAAAAGTCATCGTGTCATTCGTATCCAAAAATCTATTTCGCATCTTATTACACCAAAAAAAAATATGAATTTAATTTTATTATTCTCTGCTTATTTACCATATTTGTATTTAATTTTTGGTCACGTAGTTTAAAAATTGGTAGATATTAATTATTTAATCTGGCAACTCTTATCTGGCAGAATAACTTGACATCCTTGTAGAAATTTCTTCATTTATCAAAAAAGTTACATAAAAGTGAGTGAAGTGTATAAAACTTGAAGGAGATTTATTTTTCAAGTGATTCTAGTTTTCCCGCAAGTAAAAATATCAAAATCACTATCTTAGAAAGTGCTCTGTGGATGGATTGTCACCAGTGGACGATAAAATTGTTATAACGAGCGAGATGATTATTGAAAATCCTGACGCTTTCAAGTCGTGGTTGACTTCCATATTGGAACCTCTGTGAGTGCGAACATCCGTTTTACTTATTTATGTTATCGCGAATATTTGAGAAAATTTTCTTGACTTTATGTATTTAAGCCCATATTTATTGACGTTTTTATATTTAATTACATATTTAAATGATTATTGTAATCAGTAAAAGTATCAAATTTCACGATTGTTAATTTTATTTGACGTTTTCACATGGCGTGTTGTTCTTGTGTTTTCAAAGGTGGAACTAGTATTTGCACTTTATTAATACATTTTTAATTAACCTCTTTGTAACCTAATTTACGATAATGAACTCTATAAATGATTGCCTAAATTAAGGATAAATAAATATTGTATATGATACCTATAGGTAATATTTTGTATTTTGTTTAAAAAATATGAGCGACAGGAAGACGAATTGTCAACAGTACCAAATTAACAATATTGTCTAAATATTCAATGAAATATTGTAAATATTGGTTATTTGTCACGTGTTTAGGCATTATTAATGCTTGTAGTTCATTTTTTAGTCGAAAGTTTTGATTCTGTACTCCCTAATTATGTTGGCTGTAATTTTTTATTTGATCAATCAGATATTCTTCACTGCCTCGTGGCCGAGTGGCCGCAATTGCGACTGCTGGGCAAGGGGTCTCGTGTTCGATTCCCGGGTCGGGCAAAGTATTCCTGGATTTTTCAAAAAATTTCAGTAGTGGCATGGAGTCTGGAATTGTGCCCGGTATATGGCAATAGGCTCACCCCTTATTACATGGGACTCATAACATAAATAGTGAAAAGTGGGTGTTACATTGTATAGTGGCAGTAAGTGCCGTAATGTGCTCGTTTGCCTACCCCTTCGAGGATAAAAGGTGTGATGTTATGTTATGTTGTATTTTCTGCACCTAATTAACATCCATTAAATATACATATTTGTCTGGAAAACATATTTCTAATTAGAGAAAGAAAGAAAAAACTTTATTTCATATGATATAAGAACAAGTAAAATGTACAGATGTGTTATTCTATTGGTAGGTATTACGGCGGCTATTATAGAATGCAGCTTATTGTTTTATAGCTTATATATTATAGCTTTCCGTGATAAATGGATTGCCCAACACAAAGCTAAGTGCCAGAGAGCCATGCTTCGGCACGATTGGGCAGGCTCGAACAGAGTGATATAGAAACAATGCTTGTGTTGTGTTTCGTCATGTGAGTGAGGTTACAAGATGCCCAATTATCAGCTCTCTCCAGTCTCCAAACTCCCCGAATCCCCCACAATCCTTATAATTCACAGTACCCAAAAGGCTGGTAATGCACTTGTAACATCCCTGGTGTTTTGGGTGTTATCTGTCTGCTTATTTACCGGCTTATCCCATAAAAAAACTCTTCAGCTTTATATAATTAACATAAAATGTATAAACATAACAAAACTGGTGAAAACAGTGTTACAATCTATAACCACTTCTGCCTATCTCTTTGGGGATTAAATGGAGTGATGTTTGTTACCTAATTTAACAGTGTAGGTATATTTTTAACCTGCTTGTGTGGTTAATGCTACAAGTAAGAAATGGTGCAGTTAAAAATAACTGAAGCTTAATTATAATCTGTAAGTTGGTCTTATTTGGTTATACCCAAACTAGATGTTTTTTTATATATTTGTTCCATTCAAAAGGAAGTGAGTTTAGAGAATCATTGTAGTGAGTTAAATCTTATCACTACATAGAATAAAGCTATGTCGCTATCCGCCGTCTGTCTGTCCCTATGTATGCTTAGATCTTTAAAACTACGCAACGGATTTTGAGGCGGTTTTTTTTAATATACAGTTATTCTTAGGGAAGGTTTATAAGTATACGTATAATACATGAATATTGCACCCGTGCGAAGCTGGGGCGGGTCGCTAGTCTTACTGTAATACTATAGATACGAAAGTTTGTGTCTGTGTGTATTTATGTTAGTCAACTACGTCAAAAAGGCTTAAGGGATTATTATGCTCTCAAATGCAAAGCATTTTGACTGCAGCGTTGGCGCGGTGGGTGGGCAACTGGCTGCCGCGCAACGTTTCGCGGTTTCACTTCCCGCACGGAACAACTCTTTGTCAGGGTGCTCTTGAAACCAATCTCAATGTCAATGCAATTTTAATCCAATAAAATCTCAATAATGATTCAATGTCAAAACTATACAACCCCAATCTGTTGAAATAGCATTCTGAGTACGGAATAAAAAGCCAAACTCAATACCATTTAGTTCATTCGATATACTCGCAATACGAATGCAATGGGCGCTAGTGTAATCTACAGATTGTTGTTCCGGGTCTGGGTGTCATGTGTATGTGAACTTGTATGTTTGTAAACGCACACACGACACAGGAGAAAATCCTAAAGTGGGAAAATGTTAAAAAAAATAAAATAAAAAGAAAAGGTATGAACAATACATCCCGAGGGGACACGGGCGAAGCCGCTGGCAATAGCTACCATATTATATTATTTTCATGATAATATTGTTCTTGTCTTATCTAGTCTATATGTAGATATGATTGTGAGTGTCGAAACGGTGGCATAATGTTTAATGATAACATGGAAGTATTGTAATTTACGTAATACCACAACTATATGTTACCAAGGAGTAGGTAGATGTAACATAACATCACGCCTTTTGTCCGCGGAGGGGTAAGCAGAGGTGTACATTACGGCACTTAATGCCACTCTACAATGTAACACCGAATTTTCACAATTTATATTGAGTCCCATGTAATAGAAGGTGAGCCTCGGGCATAATTGTAGACTCCGTGCTACTACTGAGAGTTTTTAAAAGAACCCAGTAATAGTTTGCCCGACCCGCGAATCGAACCCGAGACCCCTTGCCTGGCAGTTGCACCTGGGACCACTCGGCACACGAGGCAGCAGGTAAATAAATAACAGTTATTAATAATATTTTCTTGATTACAGTTGCGATGCTGACCCGGCTGCGCTTGCCAAATATGTGTATGCTCTTGTCAAGAAGGACAAGCCCTTGGATGAGCTACGGGAGGTGATGGTGGACCAACTCGATGTCTTCTTGCAGCAGGGTGAGTGCATTTTAAACTGACTTTTAAGAAGATTCTGCAAAGAAGTTCTCAGTTGATATGATACCCGCTTTTGATGCGGTTTCTAAAGAGTCTTTGTAAAAGGTTTTATTTATTTATTTCAACTTCATACAACAAGTGTGTACAGGTGGACTTAATGCCTTGGGCATTGTCTCCCAGTCAACCTTTATGCAGTGCAGAGATGAAAGTAGCAGGTGATTTAAACCTTTATAAATAGGCAATGTACCAGTGTAATAAATAACAAATCTCACAATCAGAATATTCAATAAACACTAAACATATAGGTATATTTGAAAACTTATACATACTTACATATAACAATAATTATGTATACCTACAATATTAAAGTAAATATATAAATAAAAAATAATGAATATATATATAGAAATATATATGTACATTATAAAATATAATACAAAATATTAAATTAAAAGAGGTTTAGGTTTGAGATGAATCTACCAATTGTTTTAGTATAATAACAGACTTAATGAAGTCGATTTTTTAAACTTAATTTATGTGTGGATAATTGGGTAGCTTCCAGGGTATCAAAATAAAATATCTAATTAGTCCGTCCGTCAATTAGATAATGAAATAATATTAGACACATGCTTTTTTATTTTCTAGCATTAAGTTGCAATACTTACATAAAATGACGCTAAGTTTTTTAATCTTATTTTAAAATAAATACTAATCCCCAAAAGCCCGGTAACGCACTTGTAACGCCTCTGGTGTTCCGGGTGTCCATGGGCGACGCCGATTGCTTACCATCAGGTGATCAGTCTGCTCGTTTACCGGCTTATGCCATAAAAAAATGGATTTTCTTGCTCGTTCTTCTCCATACCCTTGAAATGAGCATATAGCTTCATTCAAATTTTTTTTTGTTGACGTTCAAAAGTTTCTATTCTGCCTATCAGTTCAATTTTAAAAAAGTTACAATTAGTATTTGTATATTTTTTCAGAGACAAAACCGTTTGTGGAGATGTTGTTCAAGGCGTTGGAGAGCAATGATTATCTGAAGCAGGGCAAGGATGAAAAGAAGGCTGGCTCCCCGGCGCCTGGGGAGCCCGAACCGGCTAAGGACCCCGAGATTGATAACCACGGTATGTTTAACTCTTTGAGTACCGTCATTATAGACACAATTCAACAATAGGTTGTGGTCACCGGTGACCGCTCGGTGTTTGACAGCTTAAACCAAAAAATTGTCTCAAAATTGTCTCAAAGAAAAAAACACCTTTTTGTATAATGCGAATTAATTATATAGGGAAGCATTAACGTAATCATTAATCAACTACATACCAATATTACCAAATAAAAATATACTATAGTCAGGATCTTTATTGGCAAAAAAATACTATACCATCTTCTTGAGTGGAGTTCATAATATGTATATAGCCCACTGTTATCTAAACGATGTTGTTTTGTTTTCGACAACCACGCGAACGAAGTCGCGGGCACAGCTAGTTTATAATATTAGTATAGATTCTTGGCATGCATCAATGTGCTAATATTAAAATACAGTACCAAGGCATTGTTCAAAAATAGATATTTTTACCCTATAATAAAAACAAAACATTATGAAGAAACAAATTAAGATTGTTCTCCCAAAGATTTTATTAATAGTTCCTTCCAGGAGATGTTTCAGGTGTTTTTGTATATTTTACAATGGTACTACCTACTTATTTTTATTATCCCTATTGTATCCCCGGGTCGCGGAGAACCTTACGGTCGCGGAGAACCTAACGGGTAACCGGGGCTCCGGCTCGACGAGCCTGACACTCCCTCCCGCCTCACACAGGCGGGAGCAGTCATTCGATGATTTTCCCCCATTAAAAAAAAAAATTGTTTCCCCGGGGCTGTCGACTTCAAACTTATAATTAGACTACCTGACCCGGCAAACTTCGTACGGCCAATTTTTTTTCTCACCTTTTGAACCTTCCCTGGACTTCCACGAACATTTCAAGACCAAAATTAGCCAAATCGGTTCAGCCGTTCTCGAGTTTTAGCGAGACTAACGAACGAAAATTCAGTTTTATTTACATAGGATTATAAGTACAGGATTTGTATTATTTTTAAGTACTTTCGTGAGACGTACTAAATATATTATTATGTTTTCGGCTTACTCACGTAATTATTGACGAGGAACTCGACTAGTTTCAAGCCATACTAGAGGTTAATATTCACGAGTTCCTCGTCAATAATTACGTGAGTAAGCCGAAAACATAATAATATATTAAATACAGGATTCCTCACGATGTTTTCCTTCACCGTTTGTCAGTGGTGTCTAAATAATCATAGAAAGTACGTATAATTCGGAAATAGTCGCATCGGTACTTGCCCCATGCATGAGAAGTGGGCGTCTTAAACCTCCAAGCCTTCACAAGTTTTCTAGTATGTTAATACATATATTTTTTTTACAGTGGGAGCCCCAACGATTCCGTCGCCGGTATCTGGCGGGGAGACCCGGGGCCGGTCTCCTTGCGCCGGCACGTTGGCGGGCAGTACTGGCGCGGTGGGGGCGCGCGCCCGCCTCGTAGTGTCGCGGGGCGCCAAGCTGGCCGCGCCCGCGCCCCCCGCGCCCCCGGCGCCTACCCCCGCCGCGCCCCCTAGAGGACATCCCCATAATGAACATACGCTTGTTAAGGTTCGAGATTTTGTCATTTTTATAAATACAATTATTATATTACATCACAACTATAAATGTTACCAAGGAGTAGGTAGATGTAACATAACATCACGCCTTTTATTTCCGAAGGCGTAGTCAGAGGTGCACATTATGCCACTGTATAATGTAACACCCACTTTTCACTATTTATGTTATAAGTCCCATGTAATAGGGGGTGAGCCTATTGCCATATACGGGCAACAATTCCAGACTCCGTGCTACTATTAAGTTTTTTTTTAAACCGCACTAGCGAGCACTCGGCCTACGAAGCATATAACATGACGCAAGCGTTGTTTCACTATGTTTTTCTCCTCGGTCGTGGTATCACTTTTTTTTTTGTTTGTGTAAAAAACGTTGCCCCACATTAGGATTTTCTCCTGTGTCGTGGGTGCGTTTACAAACATACAAGTTCACATACACAATAACACCCAGACCCGAAACAACAATTTGTGGATCACACAAAGTGTTGTTCCGTGCGGGAATCGAACCCGCGACACGTTGCAGCGCAGCCGGTTACCCAGCCACCGCACCAACCGTGCACTCCGGTCGAGCCGGCCCATTCGTTCGACGTATGGCTAACTTAATTGTAATATTTTTTTATTGTAATTGTAATGAAGACTGTTTGTCTATCCACAGGTGTTACCATTGACGGAACTGCTAGAGGAGCCAGTAGACCAGCCACCTAGAAGACGCGATAGACGAGGAGACGCGGTTAGTATACTGTTTACAACAACTTCAAGTATAAATTCAAGGAATAATGTCTTATCCTACTTACTTCCTCCGATTCGGAGTCGCGGAGAACCTAACGGGTAACCGGGGCTCCGGCTCGACGTGCAGGAGAAGGAACGGGGTGGTTTTTAGTCAGTAAGAGTCTGACACTCCCTTCCGCCTCACCCAGGCGGGAGCAGTCATTCGATGATTTTCCACCCTTAAAAAAAAAAATCCTTACTTCCTTACTTAATATTATAAATCGGAAAATAAAAAAAAAATAAAAATAAAAATAAAAATCTTTTATTATCAGGCGTCGACGGCCCATAGAGTGTTAGTAAACAGTACAAACTTAAAAACTATGTTAGTAGTAACACACGAGTACAAAAATACAATAACAAAATAATACATACACAAATACAAATACAGAACAGATTATTATTAGAAGCATTATCAAGCCCCACGCCTGACATGAAATGAAAATGAGTTTGTTTGTTTGTTAAGACTTCATGCCGTAACTACTTAACCGATTGCATTGAATTTTTGCAGACGTAAAGTTAGTAGTCTGGATTAAATAATAGGGTACTTTTAATCCCGAAAAAATTTGATATTCCTGAGGGAAAACAAAAGTATTGGTATAGATGGCGCTGTGTGTATTGGTATATGTCACATAGGCTACTTTTTATTCTTTTATGACTCGGCAGATGGCGCTGCAGTCGATGTTTAGGTTATTTATCCGAAACAGTTGAACTAATTTGAATGAATTTTTGTTTATACATTCAAGTGGATATGCAGGACAACGTCTGTTAGATCCGCTAGTAACATGATATTATAATGACAATTTGTTTGTCCGTAGACTCGTGAGGCAGACAGACGTAGACGAAGATCTCGTTCGTGGGAGAGACGCGCCCGGGCGAGGCGACACGGACGGGATAACGAACACAATACTGACATCCGAAGGTAATATAACTATTTTTTATTATTGACATCGACTTTGTATTGTAACTTTCCTGAGACATCCTTACTAATATTATAAATGGGAAAGTGAGTTTGTTTGTTTGTTCCACTTTCACGCCGTAACTACTAAACCGATTGCTTTGAATTTTTGCAGACGTGAAGTTAGAAGTCTGGATTAAATAATTAGGGTACTTTTTATCCCGGAAAAATTTGATATTCTCGAGGAAAAACGAAATTATTGGTATAGATGGCGCTGTGTGTATTGGTATATGTAACATAGGCTACTTTTTATCCTTTTGTGACGTGAGCGAAGCCGCGGGTAAAAGCTAGTACTAAATAAATTATTATGTTTTCGACTTACTCACGTAATAATTTGACACAGTACTCGACTAGTTTCAAGCCATGCTAGAGGCTCATATTCATGAGCAGCATTTCGCGACCCGCGACGCGACGACTGTCGCTGCTACTGGCTACTCGAGTCTGCCCAGCGCGCCCTCTGCCGTGATTCACGCGCGCTTTCTTGGCGAAATGCTGCTCATGAATATGAACCTCTAGCATGGCTTGAAACTAGTCAAGTACCTCATCAAATTATTACGTGAGTAAGCCGAAAACATAATAATTTATTGTCATCGTCATTAGTGGGAACAACAATTTTTGGACATAAGTGTGGGACAGCCATTCTTCGGCACGAATGGGCCGGCTCGACTGGAGATCACTCCAGTATATTATATGTATCACTCCAGATACCAAGGCCTAGCAGAAAACCATAGTGAAATAACGCTTGCGTTGTATTGAGGTTACCGGAGGCCCAATTAACCGGATTGGGAAGGGGTGCTTCACCCAATCCCCGAATCCCCCACAATACTCAAATTCTCAATTCCCAAAAGGCCGGTGTGACGCACTTGTAACGCCATCGGGTCTGCTCGTTTACCGGCTTATCCCATAAAAAATCACACAAAGCGGGTTCGATTCCCGCACAGAACAACGTGCGGGAATCGAACCCGCTACACGTTGAACGGCAGTCGGTTGCCCAGTCACCGCACCAATCGTGCATACTGCAGTATCATCATCATCATCATCAACAGCCTATAAATGCCCACTGCTGAGCAAAGCCTCTTCTCACACGGAGAAGTTTAGAGCATTAATCACCACGCTTGCTCACTGCGGGTTGGCGATTTCAAACTTATAATTAGAAATTATAAGTCCAGGTTTCCTCACGATGTTTTTCCTTCACCGTTTGTCAGTGGTGTCTAAATAATCTTAGAAAGTACATATAACTCGGAAAAAGTCACATTGGTACTTGCCGTTGGTAGGTTTCGAACCCGCACCCTCATGCATGAGAAGTGGGCGTCTTAAACCTCCGGGCCACCACGACACACGACGACCATACATACTGCTACTGCAGTATGTTTTGTCATTATTAATGTGTTTGTCGTATATAAAACTGGATATTTCTTTCTACTCAGACGGCCACTTTCCCGGTCTCCTTCTCCGCGAGGTCGTTACAGAAACCGTAGTCCTCCGCCCTCAGCCATCGACAGGCAAACCAGCAGGTCTCGGTATGTATTCGAACTAGACATGTTTTATTTTTAACTGACTTAAAAAAAATGACTGCCTCGTTGGCCGAGTGGTCGTAAGTGCGACTGACGGGCAAGGGGTCTCGGGTTCGATTCCCGGGTCGGGCAAGTATTACTGGGTTTTAAAATAACGGTAAAATTGGGTGAATAGGGTTTGAGCGGCGAAAAGGGACAGAAGAGGGGTGAATCGATACTATGAAGAATTTCCTTATATCTTTTCACCCCTCTTCTGTTCCTATTCACCTCTCGATCCCTATTCACCCCATTTTATGGTATTCTCAGTAGTAGCACGGAGTCTGGAATTGTGCCCGATATATGGCAATAGGCTCACCCCTATTACATGGGACTCGTAACATAAATAGTGAAAAGTGGGTATTACATTGTACAGTGGTATAATGTTCACCTTTCGTTAGTCTACTTTCATCCATCCTTTCATTTATAATATTAATAGGATGTTATAATTTATTTAACCGTTTTTCAACAGATCAAGGTCGCCGGCTGGTCGTGATCGTGACCACGAGAGGGAGCGAGAGAGACTGCGAGTTCCACGCGAGTTGGAAAGAGACAGAATGTCCCGAGACAGAGAACATAGAGATCGCGTGTCTCGCTCTAGGGATAGAGATCGGTGAGTGTTTTTTATGGCATAAACCGATAAACGAGTTGACAGATCACCTGATGGTAAGCAATTGGCGTCGCCCATGGACACCTGGAACACCAGAGGCGTTACAAGTGCGTTACCGGCCTTTTGGGGATTAGACGTTTGAAGATCGTTGGGGATTCAGGAATTGGGGAGATTGGGGAAGGGGAGGGTAATTGGGCCTTCGGTAACCTCACTCACACGACGAAACACAACGCAAGCGTTGTTTCACGTCGGTTTTCTGTGAGGCCGTGGTATCACTCGGGTCGAGCCGGCCCATTCGTGCCGAAGCATGGCTCTCTCACACTTCGTGAGTTGCGGAACATGTGCAAATTGTAATAAAAACATGACTTTTGTAAACGATTGCCTCATTGTCCGAGTGGTCGCAAGTACGACTGCTGGGCAAGGGGCCTCGGGTTCGATTCTCGGGTCGTACAAAGTATTACTGGTTTTTGAAAAATTCTCAGTAGTAGCACGGAGTCCGGAATAGTGTCCCATATATGGCAATAGATTCACCCCCAATTGCATGAGACTCATAACATGAATTGTGAAAAGTGGGTGTTACATTGTACAGTGACATTAAGTGCCGTAATGCGCCTCTGCCTACGCCTCCGGGGATAAAAGGCGTGATGTTATGTTATGTTAATTGGGAAGTCATCAAAAATATTACACACAGGACAGTTTTTTGTGATCCACAGACTGTTGTTTCGGATCTGGGTGTCATGTGTATGTGAACTTGTATGTTTGTAAACGTACACACGACACAGGAGGAAATACTAGTGTGGGGGAACGATTTTTTTTTTACAAAGTAAAACTGAAAAGCAGTATTTTATTTATTAATATATTGTATGTTTTTTACAGTTCCCGCGATCGTTCCCGCGACCGTTCCCGAGGCTCGACGTCCCCGCACCCCGACGCTCGGCTCGATCACAACGACGCCTACAAACGACGCTGTAGAGATTTTGACGGTAAGAACTAATTATTATACTTATACTAGCGGACCCGACAGACGTTGTCCTGCATATCCACTTGAATGTATAAACAAAAATTCATTCAAATTAGTTCAGCCGTTTAGGATAACTAACCTAAACACGACTGCAGCGCCATCTGCCGGGCTGATTTGTGAATCTAAACCATTCCCAGATTTGAACACACACAAAAAATTTCATCAAAATCGGTCCAGTCATTTGAGAGAAGTTCAGTGACATACACACTCACAGAAGAATTATGTATATAAAAGACTACATATCTTCTACTGCCTCTATGGCCGAGTGTTCGCAAGAGTAATTGCCCGTCAAGGGGTCTCGCGTTCGATTCCCGGTTCGGGCAAAGTATTAATGGTTCTTTTTTTAATCTCAGTAGTAGCACGAAATCTGGAATTGTGCCTGGTATATGGCAATAGGCTAAAAACTCATAACATAAATAGTGAAAAGTGGGTGTAACATTATACAGTGGCATTAAGTGCAGTAATGAACATCTAAGCCTGTCCCTTCGGGGATAAAAGGCGTGATGTTATGTTATGTTATTGGATTGAAATTGCATTGACATTGAGAATGGTATGAAGAGTAAGCACCGTGGCGTGATTCCAATGAGTGATCGTTGTTTTTTTTTATATTTAATGTGGCGACGTTTGCCCACTATCTCACCTGATGGTAAGCGATGATGCGGTCTACGATGGAGCACATCGTCCCATAAGCAACCTATTCACTCGGGCCTTGAAGACACCCAGGTTATACCCTTCAGGAAATACAGACTGGCAAAGAATTCCACTCTTTAGCTGTACGCACAAGGAAGCTTGAAGCGAAGCGCTTCGTGCGTATGGGCGGAACATGTAGCATGAATCGGTGTTTGTCCCCCCAGAGAAGGGGTACTGCATGCGCGGCGACCTGTGCCAGTGGGACCACGGCAGCGACCCGGTGGTGCTGGAGGACGCGGCCGCCGCGCTCTCCTCCGTGCTGGCGCTGCCGCCGCCGCCCAGCGTGCCCGGTGACTGGACATTCATTCTTTCTTTCTAAGCCACTGCCTCGTTGCTCGACTGCTCGCAAGTGTGATTGTCGCGGAGAACCTAACGTGTAACCGAGGCTCCGGCTCGGCGTGCAGAAGTAGGGTGGTTTTTAGTCAGTAAGAGTCTGACACTCCCTCCCGCCTCACACAGGCGGGAGCAGTCATTCAATGATTTTCCCCCCTTAAAAAAAAAGTGTGACTGCCTGGCAAGGACTCTCGGGTTCGATTCCTGGGCCGGCCAAAGTATTAAGACTGGATTTTTTTTTAAATCTCAGTAGTAGCACGGAGCCTGGAATTGTACCCGGTATATGGCAATACGCTCACCCCCTATTACATGGGACTCATAACATGAATAGTGAAAAATGAGTGTTACATTGTACAGTGGCATTAAGTGCCGTGATGTGCACCTCTGCTAAAAGACGTGATGTTATGTTATTTGTTAATTTTGTCTTTTTTTATCAAAGGAATATAACATTTGTATCTAAATGTTTACAGAGTACAATCCCCTGACGCCGGACATATGGTGCGGCGGGTTCCCTGCCTACCCCCCTCCGCACCCCCACCACCCACACCCGCCCAGGGAACTCATACCTATACCTAGGTAAGTTCTAACACTAACTTCTAGGTAAGACAGATAATATTTTCGCGTTATTTTGTAGACAAATATGTAGTATGTAGTAGACTACATACTAGCTACTTTCACCCACTCTGCTCGGCGCCTATTGATCGTAGCGTGATGTTTTATAGACTATAGCCATCCTCGATAAATGCGATATCCAACACAAAAAGAATTATTCAAATCAGACTTGTAGTTACGGCGATTAGCGCGTTAAAACAAAAAAACAAACTCTTCCGCTTTATATAATACTAAGTATAAGATAATAAGTATTTTTTAAGATATAATTATTAATGTTCCTACCCCCCAGGATCCGTCACGAGATGGTATCAGCGCGCGGCGTGGGTACTATAGGGGCGGCCCCAAGACCCCCCGCTCCACATAAGAAGAACTTCGACTATACACGTTTTGGTAAATATATATTACTAGCTTTTACCCGCGACTTCGCTCGCGTCACAAAAGGATAAAGAGTAGCCTATACTCGGAATTTTAATTCGATTCCAGATTTGACAATTTCAGTGTGGCAACGTTATGACAAGTACTAAATAGTGACGTTGCGAAATTATTCGATATGGAAATGCAATATTCCTGGATTGATTCTTCTCGTTTATAACAATTATAATTTTACTCTCGTGCACTAAGTATATCAGGAAATTAAATATTTCTGAACCGATAATTTAGTTTTGACGATTAACTCGTCGAGTACCGGTTTTATAGACACAATTCAAGAACAATAGGTCGCGGTCACCGGTGACCGCTTGGTGTTTGACAGTTTAATTAACGATCTGAGACGTTTCTTTTATAATTGTGTGTGAAATAAATAAAAAAATATAATCATAAATGAACATAACAAATAAAACAGATAGGTGTATTATGGTAATAAGTTATTTTATAAATTGTCGCCGTCATCGCTATCGCTATCCTGTTACTTTCTGTAACATTTATTATAAATCACTCACACTGATTGTTTATCGATTTTTGTGTGCATCACTACACTATTATATGTGGTATCATTATTTCACAAAATGACAGTAGCTATTGTCAAATCTGGAATCTAATTAAAATTCTGACTATAGTAAAAGTGTGACATATAGCAATACACACAGCGCCATCTATACCAATACTTTTGTTTTCCCTCGGGAATATCAAATTTTTTCGGGATTAAAAGTACCCTATTATTTAATCCAGACTTCTAACTTTACGTCTGCAAAAATTCAAAACAATCGGTTCAGTAGTTACGGCGTCAAAGCGGAACAAACAAACAAATTCACTTTCCAATTTATATTATTAGTAAGGATTATTTTATTTAACATTAGCATTTATTTTAACTGTCAAACATCGCGAGAACACCGGTGACCGCAACCTATTGTTCTTTAATTGTGTCTACAATGACGGTACTCAAAGAGTTAAGTAAATTCTTTTTTAAATTATTAAAATGCTCAGTAATAGAATGTACTCTGGAATTGTGCCTGGTATATGGCAATAGGCTCACCCCCTATTACATGGGACTCATAACATAAATAGTGATAAGTGGGTGTTACATTGTATAGTGGCATTAGGTGCCGTAAAGTGCAACTTTGGCCTTCCTTTCGAGGATAAAAAGGCGTAATGTTATATATTACATAATAAGGTATTTTTCTGGGTCAATAATAAATTATTAAGATTTATCAATTCAATTAAATATTCAAAAATAGTTACACTTTCATTCATTGATTTGCCGATATATTTAATTTTCGATTTATTTTAAAGTCAGTTTGGTACTTTTGAAACGTCAACAAATACAAAATAAATAATAGTCTGTCAGTCAGTCCGTCAGTGAAACTAGGTGAAGCTAGGTGCTCATTCCAGAAAGTAGATTCGAATGGAGAAGGACGAGCAAGAAACTCCATTCGTTACTCTTTTTTAAAAAGTATGTTCTACAATGTCTCTGATACATATTCCAATACTGTACGTATATGTGAGAACAATGCAAAGACACGCTTGACGCATTATACTAATAACTTACTAAATAAAAATCTTAAAGTCCAACATGGTGCTCACATATGCATACTGACAATCCATAGAATTAGTGCTTCTATACAAGAAAAGGAAACTCTTTGTTTCAATAAAGAAATGCTCGATGCCATAAGGAAACTAGAATGTCTACATTAGAATTAAAGTGTTAAATTATGTATTATTTAGCATTTTTTTTAGAAATAAATGTGCTATTTGACTTGAAAATATGATTGGTACAAAATTCATAGAACAGTATCGTTTTTGACGTTTCGATAAAAGTATTGAATTTGATTAGTTGTAAATTATTATTCCAGGCCCGCCCCGTCCCCCTCTGCCCGCGAACGCAGCGAACTGCTCTCTGGAAGTGAAGAAAGTACCGCGCGGACTCAACGATATCACACATCTCAACAACCACTTCTGCAAGTTCGGCAAGATTGTTAATATACAGGTTCATATTTCTATAAATTATTATGTTTTCGGCTTACTAACGTACCTACTAATTTGACTCAGAACTCGACTAGTTTCAAGCCATGCTAGAGGCTTGTATCCAGCATTCCTCGCCCTCCGCGAGTGTCGCAGCTCGTGGCTCCTGTGCGTGCCCAGCGCGCCCCCTGGCGTGGGTTCGATTCCCGGGTCGGGCAAAGTATTACTGGGTTTATAAAAAAATCTGCCTCGTTGGCCGAGTGGTCGCAAGTGCGACTGCCGGGCAAGAGGTCTCGGGTTCGATTCCCGGGTCGAGCAAAGTATTACTGGGGTTTTTTTTAAAAAAAAATCTCAGTAGTAGCACGGAGTCTGGAAATGTGCCCGGTATATGACAATAGGCTCACCCCCTATTACATGGGACTCATAACATAAATAGTGAAAAGTGGGCGTTACTTCTGTATGCACCTCTGCCTACCCCTTCGGGGATAAAAGACGTGATTTTATGTTATGTATTTTCCAACAGGTCTGCTACGATGGTGATCCAGAAGCGGCTCTGATAACATTCAGCAATCCTACCGAAGCTAACGTTGCGTACAAAAGCACTGAGGCAGTGCTGAACAATCGCTTCATTAAAGTGTTCTGGCATAACCCTGAGGTAAGTTGTCATAGTTAATTCTAATATTCTCGTTCTCCCATCCTAAATTCAATGAAAGGTTCGTCTCTTAAACTGTCAAACACCGAGCGGTTACAGGTGACCGCAACCTATTGTTCTTTCATTGTGTTTGTAATGACGGTACTCAACGAGTTAAATTTTATTTTAATGTCCGTCTGGTACAAAATATTAGACACGTATTTTTTGTTTTCTCTCAAAATTAAATACTTTCGACGATGTATTAGTTTGAAATATCGTGTAATGTAACGACCTCCCGCTCCTAAACTTAACTCCACTTTATCTAAGTATTGTAACTTATACGACAAAATAAAAAATATGTGTCTAATATTTTTTCATCATTTAACTGACGGCATAATAACTGAAGGAAATCGATTTTTAACTATGTTTGTGTTGTAAGCGCCAAGTTGTGATTAGTGAGCCGCGGAGAACCTAACGGGTTACCAACTCTCCGGTTCGAAGTGTAGGAGTAGGAACGGGGTGGTTTTTAATCAGTAAGAGTCTGACACTTCCTCCCGCCTCATTCGTGAGACATTAAAAAAATAATTATTACGTTTTCGGCTTACACACGTGACTGTTTGACTCAGAACTCGACTAGTTCCAAGCCATGCTAGAGGTTCATGTCCATGAGCAGGATTCATTGGCCCGCGCCGCGACTGTCGCTCCTGCGTGCTGCAGTGGGCCGCGGTGCGGGCGGCGCCCCCTGCTGGGTGCCGGCTGTGGCGCGCACTATCCTCCACCCGCGGCGGCGCGACACAGCTGGCACACTACACTCGTTCGCCGGTCGCCGCGTACATGTTGACTTCGAATCCGGGTCGACGCAATACCATAGTGTTACATACCGCGCTGTGTCACACTCCAGACCCGCAGCATTGTAGTCTGACTCAGATTGCATTTAGTTACTCATGTAACTGTTTGACGAGCAACTCGACTAGTTTCAAGCCATACTAGGAGTCGCGGAGAACCTAACGGGTAACCGGGGCTTCGGCTCGAAGTGCAGAAGTAGGAACGGGGTGATTTTTAGTCACTAAGAGTCTGACACTCCCTTCGTCGAGCAGTCATTCGATTATTTTCCCCCCTTAAAAAAAGCCATACTAGGGTTTCATATTCCGGCCGCGTCGCGATGACTGTCGCGCTGCTGCAGCTATCTATTATATTGTCCATGAATGATTTTAATCGACTCTGTGGTTTTTTTTGTACATTTTATCAATATTGTTTTTTCAGCAGAATAAACAAGAGAACATGGCGCCGGGCGGTCAGTTGTCGAACAAACAGACGGATAGACAAAACTCGCAGCATCCAATGTCTCATAACAAAGTGCTCATCAACAGAGATAATATCAAGGCAACCGCCGATAATAATGCTAAACAACTCATGGAGAAGGTACTATATTTATATACTACTAGCGAACCCGACAGACGTTGTCCTGCATAAACATAACATAACATCACGCCGTTTTATCCTCGAAGTTGTAGGGAGAGGTGCACATTACGGCAGTTAATGCCACTGTGTAATGTAACACCCACTTTTTAATTACTATTTATGTTATGAATACCATGTAATAGGGGTGAGCCTATTGCCATATACCGGGCACAATTCCAGACTCCGTGCTACTACTGAGATTTTTAAAAACCTAAGATTTTTAATACTTTTCCCGGCCCGGGAATCGAACCCAAGACCTCTTGCCCGGCAGACGCATTTGCGACTACTCGGCCAACGAGGCAGTCATGGCATTTATGTTATGAGTCCCATGTAATAGGGGGTGAGCCTATTGTGATAAATTTTTATTCAAATTTAAACTGTCAAACACCAAGCAGTCACCGGTGACCGCAACCTATTGTTCTTTAATTGTGTCTATAAATACGGTACTCGACGAGTTAATTTTGTTTTTCTTACAGCAAGAGAAAGAGAAGGAGTTAGCGAACGGTCAGGATCCTAAGAAGGAAGCAGTGAAAGCTCCAATAACGAAAAGTAAGCAGGTCATGGAGATGCACAAGAGAGCGCAGGCCTTGTTGGAGACCCAGCTACAGCAACAGATGCTACTTATACAGAGGCTGGAGTCCGGTAAGTTTATATTAAACTAGCTTCTGTAATTTTTTCCCGTCCCCGCTCGTGATTTTCGGTAAAAAGTAAAAAAAAAAATGTTGGTTAAAAAGTATCCTATGTCGGTCTCCTGGCTCTAAGCTACCTCCCTACCAATTTTCAGCCAAATCTATTCTGCCGTTCTTGAGTTATAAGTGGTGTAACTAACACGACTGTCTTTTATATATATAGATTAGCTTTTACCAGCTTTTTGTGACGCGAGCGAAGGCGTCACAAAAGAATAAAAGTAGCCTATGTGACATATACCAATACACACAGCGCCATCTGTACCAATACTTTTGTTTTCCCTCGGGAATATCAAAATTTTCCGGGATAAAAATTACTCTATTATTTAATCCGGACTTCTAACTTTACGTCTGCAAAAATTCAAGGCAATCGGTTTAGAAGTTACGGCGTGAAAGCGGAACAAACAAACAAACTCACTTTCCCATTTATAATAGTAAGGATTTATTTACTAGCTTCTGCCCGCGACTTCGTACGCGCAATCTCGTTTTCTCCCGTTCCCGTAGTATTTTCAGGACGTTTTTTCTGTCATAAGAACCTTCTCCTGACAATAATAAACACAACAAAAATCTGCCAAATCGGTCTAGCCGTTCTCAAGTTATGGCGTGACAACGGGAAACGGGTTTCATTTTACGGATACGGGTAGGTTACCGGAGGCCCAATTACCCTGCCCTTCCCCAATCTCCCAAATCCCTGAATCCCCAACGATCCTCAAACTCCTAATCCCGAAAAGGCCGGTAACGCACTTGTAACGCCTCTGGTGTTCCAGGTGTCCATGGGCGACGCCGATTGCTTACCATCATGTGATCTGTCTGCTCGTTTACCGGATTACGCCATAAAAAATATACATTGTGTCTCGCGTGGGTCCACGTCTTATGTCGGAATACTCAAACGCCACTCAATTTTAAGTCGCGCTTAAGTATAGTTCTGTCTCTACAAATTCTTTGTAAAATGACAGAGATGGCACGATATTTAAGCACGACTTAAAATTGAGTAACTTTTTAGTATTCCGGCATTAGACACATGAAAGGTTAATTGACTCTGGGTTTTTGACGTGACAACGTCTTATAAATTGGTTTGCCGGGTGGCACTTCAAGAAACTGCGTTACGCTCCGCTCACGTTATGCGCTCACAATGAGAGCGAGTGAGAGGCACGCGTCCCTTCCACTCGGGCATGGTTAGCCCGCCTAAGAGCGAGAGAGACAGACATAAAAAGTAAAAGGCACGCGTCCCTTCCACTCGGGCATGGTTAGCCCGCCTAAGAGCGAGAGAGACAGACATAAAAAGTCAAAGGCACGCGTCCCTTCCACTCGAGCACAGTTAGCCCGCCTAAGAGCGAGAGAGACAGAGCGAGAGAGACAGAGCGAGAGAGAGAGAGTGAGAGAGATAGGCATACACACCGGTTCATGTCTATACGAATGAATATTCACATTAAAAGGTTATCTTTAAGGTTATTTTCTTTTTCAATCACTTTGACTGGATTTTAGTGTTACATTGTTCTCGCACAATCCAAACAGCAAAACTATGTAACTAGTAAATTGTATTGTGAACCTGATTGAAAAAGAGTAACCTATGGAGTTTCTTGCTCGTTCTTCTCCATAGGAATCTACACCTTGGAATGAGCAAATAGCTTCACTTGTAATTTTCTTTTTGTTGACGTTCAAAAGTGCCATTCTGGCCTAATTGAAATAAATGATTTTGACTTTGAAAATTATTTTACCACTCAAAGTCGTTGTCACGTAAAACTTTCGCCCGTATACCGACTTTACAGGCAACCAATTTTTTTATTGGACATTCTATTTTCCAGGAAACGTTACGGGCCCACAACGCGCCGCTTTGCTAGAAGCGATCAACTCGGCTCAAGAAGGAATTGAAAAACTGCGCAAAGAACTCGTCGCTTACAACGGCACGTTAAAACAAATGCAGGTAAGATTTCAATACAAAATATACCCTATATATATGCTTTTTAAAGATTATTTTTCTTTAGGACGTGTGTAGTTTGTTTTTTTTTATAATTTGCTGCAGTTGAATATATTTTTTGTTATTCGTATTCGTACAACTTTGTTTTTTGTTTATGCTAAACTTGGGTGTTTAAAAGTGTGACCATGGCGGAAGGAACAAGTTTTAAAGTCTTAAACAGATGCTCAATTATCACCATTTAGTTTGAGGGTCAATAGAAATCGCTCGCTCGCGTCTCTCGTATCGCTTCTCCCCCGTAGGTGATAGCGTGATAATATGTAGCTTATATATTGACCCGACCTGTTAGTAATATTCATGCAATATTTAAAGTAAATCCATGCAGTACTTTTGGAGATCATCCCGGACATACATACAGACAAAAATTTTAAAAACCCTATTTTTGGCTTCGGTATCGATTGTATATTATACATATAATAGATTTAGAAGAATAGATTTAGCCTAAGAATTACCAGCTGTGGTTTAATTGTGCAAGAAAAGGTTTACAACTGTACTGAACAAAAATGAAACTCTGTGTCTAAATATAGTATAAAAATATTCGATTCAGTTACTCGTTTTGAGTACCAGGCACGAATAACTATCGCAATCGTAACGTAATAGTATCGAGCGCGTTCGGCACTCTGAGGCCTTAGTATGAGATTGTTTCACGTTCAAAGTAATCGAAACGAGTACGTGTTCGGCATTCTGATTCATCATCATCATCATCAACAGCCTATAAATGCCCACTGCTGAGCAAAGCCTCTTCTCACACGGAGAAGGTTAGAGCATTAATCACCACGCTTGCTCAATGCGGGTTGGCGATTTCAAACTTATAATTAGAAATTATAAGTCCAGGTTTCCTCACGATGTTTTTCCTTCACCGTTTGTCAATGGTGTCTAAATAATCTCAGAAAGTACATATAACTCGGAAAAAGTCACATTGGTACTTGCCGTTGGTAGGTTTCGAACCCGCACCCTCATGCACGAGAAGTGGGCGTCTTAAACCTCCGGGCCACCACGACGTTATGCATTCTGGCACGGCATTCTGATTGGCCGGCACCAATGAACTATAGTCAGAATTTTAATTAGATTCCAGATTTGACAATAGCTACTGTCATTTTGTGAAATAATGATACCACATATAATAATGTAGTGATGCACACAAAAATCGATAAACAATCAGTGTGTGTGTTTTATAATAAATGTTACACAAAGTGACACGATAGCGATAGCGATGACGGCGACAATTTATAAAATAACTTATTATCATAATACATCTATCTGTTTTATTTATCATGTTCCTTCATGATTACGTTTTTTTATTTATTTCACACACAATTATAAAAGAGAAGTCTCAGATCGTTAATTAATCGTCAAAACTAAATTATCTGTTCAGAAATATTTAATTTCCTGATATACTTAGTTTACGAGAGTAAAATTATAAACGAGAAGAATCGATCCAGAAATATTGCATTTCCATATCGAATAATTTCGCAACGTCACTATTTAGTACTTGTCATAACGTTGCAACACTGAAATTGTCAAATCTGGAATCGAATTAAAATTCCGAGTATAACCAATCGGAGCTCAGAAGGCAGTCTCGTTTCGATTACTTTGATCGTAAAACAAACTTGTACTGTACTAAGGCCTCCGATTGACCGGCTCCAGTAAACCAACCATAGCGATAGTTATTCGTGCTTGATACTCAGAACAAACTAAATACAGGTTTCGCAAAACAAAAAATAAAGTTGTATGGGGTCTCTACATTGTAGGTTTTATTTTATACTGATAAGACTCAAATTAGACAACAATTTAGTTGAGAAGAGTCTCTGTCTATTTTTATTAATCCCTGCATATGTAATTCACGAGAATTTTTGACAAGTATTTTATAAATCGAAATTGGTTTTGACATTTTGGCCGCCACATTAAAAAGAAAGAATGAAAAGTATTCTCTCTTCACAATCTACATAATATGAGAAGTTGAAATTATATTTTGTCATAATAATTATGCTTTGTATATTTTTAAATGTTTTTTTTTTATATATATCCTCTCGCGCGTTTCTCGTACACACGGGTAAATACTTTAATAAAAAGCGAATGAGCTATTCTATTCAATCAAATAAAGAACGGGTTGCAACTTGAAAATTTACGTCACAGATAAAATAACCAATCGGTGCGCGTTTCTCGTACACCCGTGTGTACAATTGCGCGATGGGCATTCAACTCCCTCGTACACCCGTGTGTACGAGAGAGAGGATATAATCAAATATTTAAAAATATACTATTGACGCACTGAAAATAAATAAAGTATAATTAAAAAAAAAAATATAGGTCTATACTTGGCGCCTGTTTCACCTTCATATGTATAAGTACTCGATAAGCTTGTGTGTCAGGTAGTTCATACAAATTACGTTGTCTGGTAGAATTCAATTATCAATTGAATACGTCTTACAATAGTTATATCTTTTTGGTTTTGTCAACTGTGGCGGTCAAAGACATAATTGAGATTTATAATTGTGGAATGTTACAATAAAGTTATTGATACGGCAGGACGAGTCGGTCGCAAGGAATATGTCGCGGCTACACCTCGCTCAGGTACAAGATCAGTTGCGTTTCGCATGTCGTGCATAATTTTTGCATAAATTATCTTCACTCTTGCTCGGAATTTACACTTTTTCACTCTTCAAATATGTTCTTACGGGATTTTTAAGGTTAATGAAAAAATGATTTATACGGATTGTGAATCTCTACGGTTTTATTGAGTTTATCTATTTTGTATTTATTTATAAATGTAGCTTTAATTCTCGATTTAACAGTTAATTTGATGATGTTTTTCTTTCATGGAGCAAAGCTATAGTTTCTTGCTCGTTCTTCTCCATAGGAATCTACACTTTGGAACGAGCAAATAGAGTAAGGACTGACAGCAGTTGCAGTTCAAAAGTGCTTATCTGGTCTAATTGATATAAATATTTTTTAAGCCCTTTACTGCCGACAAACATGTTAAAGGCTCCGCTAGCGTCGGACATCATTGTCCAACACGGCATCCAATGTGTTAATTTTGCCTTTGACTTTTATAAGTCTTGTTCTGACAATAAGGACCAACCAAAAATGTACAACTAACTGACCTGGCGCAAACTTAATACCGGCTAAAAAAAACCTTCCCTGGATTTCCACGAACATTTCAAGACCAAAATTAGCCAAATCGGTTCAGCCGTTCTCGAGTTTTAGCGATACTAACGAACGAAAATTCATTTTCATTTACATAGATTTGGTGCAATCGTTTAAGATTTAGAGTATAGGTACATCGATCTAAATTCGATATACAGGATGACTTGTATACATTCGATGATTTTCCCCCCTTAAAAAAAGGGTGACTTTTAACTCGAAGTATTCCTCTCGGGAGGTGATAATACAACTAATTTCCTACAAAATTAGCCCTGAGGTCTAACATAACGTAACATCATGCCTTTTATTCCCGAAGGGGTAGGCAGAGGTGTACATTATGGCACTTAATGCCACTATACGACCCACTTTTCACATTTATGTTACGAGTCCCTTGTAATAGGAGCCTATTGCCATATACCGGGCACAATTCCAGGCTCCGTGCTACTACTGAGATTTTTAAAAATCCAGTAATACTTTGCCCGACCCGGGAATCGAACCCGAGACCCCTTGCCCGGCAGTCGCGCTTGCGACCACTCGGCCAACGAGTCAGTCAGTCAGTCCCTGAGGTCTCTGGTCCGAAAGTGGCTAGTTTCTGACATATCCAACATTTTCGGTTTTAGTGAATAACATCCCGATCGAACTATAAAAACATCAATAAATAAAAAAACAGCTTGTTTAAGTGATTTTAGTTTTAATTTGTTGTCAATACACATATTATTCGTTTTATAACAGCAAGTAAATTAGTATCATTCTCGTTTTTCTATATAAAATTTACTGAACATTTCATTTTGAGTACCTATTTGATGCATTGTGATTTTTCAAGTTGCCGATCGCTTTTGCAATGCACTATTTCATCCAGAGTACATATTAAATGCAAATCTAATCGTTCATCAATTATTTTATGACTGACTTCTGCATAAATAAGGCTGTAAGTGTAAATTTTACACTTACAGCTTACATTTTACACTGTAAAATGTCTGATGACGATGCGGTAGCGTATGGTACTTCTAAGCACTTGAGAAAAGAGGCAACCATATTTTCATATTTGTGTTTCAATTGAATGCAATGTAATGTTTGCATGTATCTTCGACCTCATTTATTTACTGTGAATGCTAGTCATTAATATCAGAAATTCAGTTATATGATTCCGAAATGATACCCAATTAAAATATTGGAATTAAAATATTTGATATTGGAACTTTTGATTATTTTGTAAAATGAAAAGAAGAAAATTGAAATAGGATTTAAATAAGACACGGATTTGGAGTGCACTGGCTGGGCAACCGGCTGCCGTGCAACGTGTCGCGGGTTCGATTCCCGCACGGAACAACTCTTTGTGTGATCTACAAATTATTGTTTCGGATCTGGGGGTCATTGTGCATGTGAACTTGTATGCTTGTAAACGCACTCACGACACAGAAGAAAATCCTAATGTCCCCACATACGTTTTAATAAAAAATATAAAATGAATTAAGACAAGCCGGCCACATCATTATCGATTTTCACCGAACGAGGTAGTGGCCAACCATCATATCTTAAAATTACTATGATTATGAGTGATTGGTTCATACTTAAGGGAATAGAATAAAGTTCCCTAAGATCGGAAGAGGAGGATCCTCCGACCAGGCGACCATTCGTGCCTGGCGGGCTTTCTGCCCAACAGTTGTTCGTTGGGATTTTCTATCCGTGTTAATTCGCATGTAAACTTCACATGTGCGATGTCGGATTTTTGTGACATCATCTGTTGATTTGTTTACATCGATAGTCTATGTGCGTGAGCTGTCATTTGACTTGTGACATAATAATAAGTCACCACAAAACTTTAATTGAAAAACTTGTCTCGTTAACTGCGCAAAATATTTAGCGCAATCACATGGTTTGCGCAATCCGTTTGCAAGTATGGCACCAACCGCGACTTTAGCTCCCAAAACCCGTCAAATTAGTTTTAGAAATATTTACAAAAAATGTAGCGATGTGCTTATCCCGTTTACTTAGTATAGCGTAATGTTTTAGTAAATCACGCATGCGTACCGCAACTAGCTCTTTGTCATTTAGTTACGAAGCATTGTACATAATCTGTTAGGCTCATTTTAGTCTCACGCTGACCGTCAGCGCTCATAGCGCATAGTTTGACAGACGACGACCAAGCCGTAGCTTTATCCGTCAGCGCTGACCGACGCACGCATTATTCTAAAACACTTTATAGATGTTCATACGTTTCTTTTGTCAGCGCTGACGATCAGCGTGCGGTCAGCGCGGCTCTAAAACTAGCCTTATTCTCATATTATTAAATTGCTGGTATAAGCGGTCAGGCTTCTGTATCTTTTGTATATTTTTGAAAACATACAAGTTGATAATATCATTGAGAGCGGCTCTCATGGATTGGATTGTCTCATATCGTGAGTGCATTTGCAAATATAAATATAACGAACTAGATTCTGTCAGTGTTTTTGCGTTTCTGGGATATGAACTGCCCTATGTGTTTATTACAAACGATTTATTTCTGTGCCACACTTTATTAAAATCTAAGGACTTACCTCGAGTTTGTTTAAAGTAATCGGAATGAGATCGCATTCGGATTGGTTGTTTCATTAGAGCCGACCAATCGGAGCATCGAACGCAATTGTCATTGACTTTGATATGTCGTATCTCGTTACAGAATTAAAAAAATAAGAGTAGCTCTTCTATAATAGCATTATTGTCTCTTAGATTCGATTCAACTGTTTAGTTCTCCTGTCTTCTCTATCTCTCTTTTTCTCTGTTTCTCTCTCCGTCTCTTTCATTCTTCTCTAGATTCTATCTCTAGATCTATCTTTTTCTCTGTTTCTCTCTCCGTCTCTTTTTCCTTTAATCCTGAACAAAAAATAATATAACATAAAATCACGGCTTTTACCCCCGAAGGGGTAGGCGGAGGCGCACATTACGGCACTTAACCCATTTGGGCCCGCCGTCCCCATATGGGGACAGGTTTTCTTTTACCCGCTGGTTATTAATTATTTTAGCTATCTTCACATTTCATGGGTATTTATAATGAGGAGTAGTGTACTTTCCTAAAATTATTAGACCTTTTGACAAATTCCTACAAAAAAGAGGTCATATTGTCAATTTTATCAAGAAGAAGTGAAATGGGAATTATTATTGAAAGCAGAGGCGTTTTGTAGTACGTTATTATGAAGATTTATAAAACTTTTTTGTGATTATTGCTTGCTTATAGTGTCAATTAAAACAATATTGAAGAATATCCTTATACTTTCAATTCCGCTTAGGGGAAAGTTAGAAAAAATGATGGTGTCCCCGTATGGGGACAATGGGCACATCTGTAGTATATTTTTAAAACATTTATACCTGATTTATATTTTGTTTTCCAATTTATAAAGGTCACCTTTAGGCTAAACTTAGTTATAGCTAATACTTGGTGACAACAGACGCTAATTCACGAAGAGCATCACCAATTCCGCCATATCTTTACGCGTTCATATTCTAAAATCTGATCGGCATCAAGACCAAAGATGCAAAAGTCCACCTACAGTACCAGGCGTCGCATCCGATATCAGAATTCAGCAGTAGGGGGCATTCTTCCTCCAGCTGTATTCTGGTGTCGTCACAGCGAAGTCCACCCAGAGGATAGAATAGCATTATGCCCTGTATACATTGACCACCGCCTTGTCTTCAGGGAAGTGATCGACGACGATAATCTTCCACGTCCAGCTTAGGTTCTGGCTGTGGTGCGGAGCGAGGGGAACTGGAAAACATCTCTTTCTGCGAAGCAGTCATAGTAGCAAGAACAGATCGCCGCCTAGAACCAGACCTGTACCTGTAAGGTGTGTGGCGTTACGCGCGTGCTTCAAAGTGCAGATCAGACCGCCTTAGATCGAGATGACTCAGTGGGACAGATGCCCGACCACTGTGAATAACCTGGCGGGTTGCCGGGGCTTCGGCTTGAAGCAGAATTGGAATGTGTTGGTTTTTAGCCAGTAAGAGTCCCCCAGGTGGAAAAAGCAATGCATGATTTTTACACTCAAAAAAAATATAGGCACGTCACATCAAATTGATTTAGACATTTTCCGCAGAGATTTAGTTAATATTTGTTACGACACGCAGTTCGTCATAAAAAAACTGTGATATCAATGCAAATAATGCGTTAGAACCTTATGTGTCGAAAACAGTTACTACTTCGAAAAGTACTACATATGAGACCGTTGTCCCCAATCAAGGACGGCATTTTTTTTAATACTTCTAAATATATTTTTTGAATTTTTTTTGCTGATATTAGTTTGTGGGCGTCATATCACTGAGTTAATAAAGTTTTTTTTATTAAATTATGTGTAGTTTACATTTGGTCCCAAATGGGTTAATGCCACTCACTGTACAATGTAACACCCACTTTTCACTATTTATGTTATGATTCTCATGTAATAGGGGGTGAGCCTATTGCCATATACTGGGCACATTTCCTGACTCCGTGCTACTACTGGGATTTTATTTAAAACCCAGTAATATTTTGCCCGACCCGGGAATCGAACCCGACCCCTTGATCAGCAGTCGCACTGGCGACGAACGAGGCAGCCAAATAATCGCGAAGTATTGTAAGCCGACCACTTATACACAGACAATATCGAACTAATAGACATTTGTGAATGTAAACTTCACTTCATAGTATGACGTACATAGTTACTAAAAGTGTTGCTATACATATACAGATATATAGTTTTCATGTACATTATATACATTTAAATAGATAAATATTTCATGTTGATGGAATGTAATATCTCTTTACATCTTCAAGGCCCGAGTGAATTAGCTGGGGAGCCCATGAAGGGATTTCGGTAGTTACTCGAGCGTGTCAGATTAACATATGGGGAAAACCTAGTGCCATGTTGAATGCACCCACCATATACACGAGATTAGAAGGGGAGGACTAAAAAAAAAATATCTGACTAAATTAAGTCAGTTTCGTCAGATTAAGGGAAGAGAAGTCAACAGCATGAAAGGAAGCCATTCGAACTTGATTTTCAAGAGTGGGGGGGATTTTGAAAGGAAATTTTCGTTTGTACCCTCCAGAACATTCAACTCCACTATGCTAACTGGCAGATTAAGAGTTTTTCATTATCAAAGACACATGGAGCATGTACACTATCAATATCTGACACGCTCGACCACTAGAACAAAAGTTAAGCGTAACAATTTCAAAGATCTGTGGATTCCCCCTCCCCCCACCGGTGGAAGAAATTGACACAAAAAACAATTTTTTTTCTTTCTATCAGCATATCTTCAAAATCCAATAGGTTTCAACGACCCTCGAGTAAATCCAAATTTAGCATCGTGGGCTCCCCTATTAAATAGGTTGCTTATGGGCAGACGTGTTCCGTCGTAGGCCGAATCATCGCTTACCACCACGCAAGACAGTGGCCATACGTCGGCCAATCAAATATAAAAAAAATGCGTACAAAAGTTGCATTACTTGCATTCCATCAACATAGTAATATTGCAAATGGTTTGTGTTTGTTTGTAAACGTAATTTGTTGTGTAAATTAGTGTATCTAATAATAATAATAATAGTTTTGTGTGTATTCTTGTCCACTAATTATTGCTTACATACATACAGCTGGTACCATTAAAACATAATGTAATATTACTACTGGCCACATGACATAAGCATTAGAGCTATATTTACCGGGGACATCTTGGCGACGCAACCAGTATCGCCACCAGTCACGCCACCATAGTGTCCGTAAGCTACTAAACTAGACACACGGTGACAGTATGAAAGAATACCTCTAATACTGGCCTTCGATCTGGGGTATTACTCTTGAATCCAATTCCAATCGATCGACATTGGTATTGTGAAGTTTCGTACGTTTGAGTCGCAACACTAGCGCCCATTGCATCCGTATTGCGTGCATATTGATTGAACTAAATGGTATTGAGTTTGGCTTTATATTCCGTACTCTGAATGCTATTTGAACAGCTACGATAGTCGTTGTATACTTGAATAGTTTTGACATTGAATAATTGTTGAGATTTTATTGGATTGAAATTACATTGACATTGAGATTGGTTTCAAGAGTAAGCACCATATAGAGCTGTATACGTGTTGTGGGTCGCGGCGATTGATGCGTTACCATGGTGTCGCGGTGCAATTTAACCCTTAGTCTAAACAAAATTAATCAATTTATGAGATTGACATTATCATGCTGTAAATGAAAGAAATCTCGCGTGGTAGACCCATGCTTCGGCACGATCGGTCAGTTCGACCGGAGTGATACCACGGCCTCCCAGTAACACCGGAGTGAAACGACACTTGCGTTGTGTTTCGTCGTATGAGTGAAGTTACCAGATTACCCCCCTCCCGAGTGTCCCCAATCCCCGGATCCCCAACAATCCTCAAAAGAGCGGTAACGCACTTATAACGCCTCCGGTGTTGCCGTTGTCCATGGGCGACGCTGATTGCTTACCATCAGGTGATCAGTCTGCTCGTTGGCCGACCTAAGCCTTAAATATGTGAGATCGTATGCCAAATCCTCTGATGATCTGGTAATGGTCGCAGACAGGCGCTGGATGCTGGTTACTTCCAATTGATCGATGTAGAAGTCATTGGGGGAGGACTGTGAGGCAGTGGGTGTCTTGTGACCGATCTGATGATGATGTCAACCCCGTACATTGACTTTTCATTCATTTTATTGGACTAGCGTTTATGCTATTTCTCTAAAAGTCAGATAATCCATAGTTTTTTTTTATAAAGCTCCGTCTACGCTGGGCGAGCCGAACACAATTAGTATAGTGTGGACCGACTTACAAGCCTCGAAGCGCTGCGAGAATTTCGTTCGTGCTCGGCTGTGTTACGCCTGTTGTTGGTTTTTTGAAGAGCACAAAGGGAACTGGTCTTCTCTTGCAATGTTCACTGCGAAAATAACGTTCGAAGACAGTAATCGTTGTAGGTTCATTGTGCGTCAATATTTGACGAAGTCGAAAATGGTTCCCCACGCCTCGCTCGTGCCCGGTTCGTCTAGCGTAGACTCTCCTTTCATAGTTACATGAACTTAGTCGTGGTCCAAAGTATGGTTTTTGAATACGCATATACATTGAGCTTTAATTTTCATCTGGGTTCATTGATTTCTAGTAAAAGTCCAGTGATGGTTCACCGCTGGACTTAGGACCTTCTCTATATAAGACTGGTTCTCCATTAACTCCGCGCTTGGCAAGCGGGTTGGAGTATTTGTAAATACTGTATTGTAAATAAATTATCATTAGATATGATATGACATTTGTCGACAGGCTAAGAAACCGAAGACCAAAGAAGAGGCTCAGAAGGAGATCCTTGACGCTGAACTGGATCTGTTTACAAAACAACAGGTATTTTCATATTTATTTATATCTTCCTTGGATAAAAATACCATGTGTTATTCCAAATTATAATTTATCTATGTATCAAATTTCATTCTGATCTTTTCAATGGTTTTTGACGCGAAAGAGCAACAAACATACATACGTACATTCTCACGAACTTAAAAATATGTTTATGTCGGTAGGATACCCATAATACAATGAAAAACATTTTATTATGGGATAAGCCGGTAAACGCGCAGACGGATGACCTGATGGTAAGCAATCGGCGTCGCCCATAAACAACCGAAACACCAGAGGCATTACAAGTGTGTTAGCGGCCTTTTGGGGATTAGGAATTGAAGGATTGTATGGGATTTGAGGATTGGGTGGATTGGGTAATTGGGCCTCCGATAACTTCACTTACACAACGCAATCGTTGTTTTACTATAGTTTTCTGCTCGGCCGTGGTATCACTCCGGTCGAGCCGGCCCAGCAGTGCTGAATATTGGCTCTTGAATATACATACTTGGAAAATATTCACCTATTAAGTTAAGTCCCATATATTAAGCAGTGAAGCTATTGCCTTACAATTTCAAGTGAATCCTAAAAATTCCCGATTATACGCGATGCTTAGATCGAACTGCTGAACTTTCATATATTACAACATAATTAACACAGCAAAATAAACTATACAGCGTACATAATAAAACTATAATTTCTTTAACAGGAGGGTCAAGACGTGACAGAGTTGACGAAGAAGATTGCTGAGCTCCGCCGACAGATGGCCATACAGTTCCCCTCGCATAACATCATGAGGAGACCACATGCAAGGTAGGAGCATTAAATCATACGTCTTTTTGAAATCTAGATGACTAGTATATCTTAATTGATACTGTGAACCGTTTGAAAATACGCCTGATTATATGGTATGATTAACTAAAAATCGCGAGTTACTTACATGAACATACTGAGAAAAGCTCTACTAGTTTCGAACCACAGAGGGGTTCTTCCTCATGAGCAGCGTGCGCGGTGAGTAGACTGCGCGACATCGCCGCGACTCTTTATATTCACGTGAGTAACCCGCAATTTTTAGTTAATTTAGTCTGTCTCACGATAGTTATTATAAAGTCAAAGTCAAAGCATTTATTTCAATTTAACCATAGTTTGGTACTTTTGAAACGTCAACAAATACAAAATAAATAATAGTCTGTCAGCCAGTCCGTCAGTGAAACTAGGTGAAGCTAGGTGCTCATTCCAAAAAGTAGATTCGAATGGAGAAGGACGAGCAAGAAATTCCATTCGTTACTCTTTTTAAAAAAGTATGTTCTACAATGTCTCTGATACATATTTCAATACTGTACGCATATGTAAGAACAATGCAATGGTTTTTAAATGGTATGGTATGAAAATTAAACATATGTATAACAACTAAATACCGATTTCAGCCCCCTCTTTTTTGGAATACTATTAATTGGGTACTTGCAAACTAGTCAAATTCTATACTTTTTTCGAACTGTCAAAAACGACAGCTTTCTATAAATTCTGTACGAGATTGTGTATTGTGACGTCACGTTTCTTTTTGTGTCAAACAGCATACTTATTTATTAAAAATTGCTGGAAAAATACTAAAATTAAGTTGGTCGTAAAATCTATTAATGGAAGTGCGATTATTTTTTAATATTTCATTGTATTGAACAGTCGAAATGATTTATTTTTGATTAAGTAAAATACCCAATTTTACCGATTATGTTAAATGATGAACCGAACTCTAAAACAGAGGGGGTTTTTATAAAAGAACTAGCTGACCCGGCAAACTTCGTACCGCCGAAGAAAAGATTTTCTCACCTTTTAAACCTTCCCTGGACTTCCACGAACATTTCAAGACCAAAATTAGCCAAATCGGTTCAGCCATTCTCGAGTTTTAATGAGACTAACGAACAGAAATTAATTTTTATTTATATAGATAGATTATTCAATTCATTGGTGATATCAAAATGATTATTGTTTCGATAAACAGAAAAAGGAATAATAACCATGGAGATTTTTTATACATTTTTTTTGTAAATTATATAAAAGAGGTATGTAAGAATTGTAGCAATTGGCGTTCCACAGTCTCTGCCTTGCTCATGAGAGTCAGGCGTGAGGTTATGTACGTATGTATAAAAATGGGTGATATAACTATGATTATATTATAATTATTTATTTATAATAATCTGAAAATGTGCCCGGTATATGGCAATAGGCTCACCCCCTATTACATGGGACTCGTAACATTAATAGTGAAAAGTGGCATAATGTGCACCTCTGCCTACCCCTTCGGGGATAAAAGGTGTGATGTTATGGTGTGTTATGTTATTTATAATAAATATTGTTATTAACTTTTCAAGCTACCGTATTGTGAAGAGAAAACTTAGGTGAGATTGCAACTGTTATTATTACATAGATATATTAAAATTGACTGCCTCGTTGGCCAGTGGTGACAAGTGCGACTCGGCAAGGGGTCTCGGGTTCGATTCCCGGGTCGGGCAAAGTATTACTGGGTTGTTAAAGAATGATTCTCAATAGTAGCACGGAGTCCGGAATTGTACCTATATGGCAACAGGCTCACACCCTATTACATGGGACTCATAACACAAATAGTGAAAAGTGAGTGTTACGTTCTACAATGGCATTAAGGTCCGTAATGTCACCTCTGCCTACCCCTTCGGGTGTAAAAGTCGTGTTGTTTTGTTATGTTGTTTTATATGTTGAATGTGAGAGAAAAATAAATATTGTGACAATTCAAATGTTTACCGGTTTACTTAAGTAAGGTTGATTTTGTGGTGGTGTCATGCTCACGGCAGGCGCACCGTCAGTGCCAGTAGACGAGATATGTAGCTGGCTTTACTGTCGCGCTGAACGTCAGCGCTGACAGCCAAGACGTATGAACTACCAGTTTTTTTCGAATAACGCATAGCTATCACCGCGCATCTTTCCTATCATCAACAGCATATAAGTGCTCCCTGCTGAGCAAAACCTCTTCTCACACGGAGAAGGCTTAAGCATTAATCACCACGCTTGCTCAATGCGGTTTGCCGATTTCAAACTTATAATTAGAAATTATAAGCCCAGGTTTCCTCACGATGTTTTCCTTCACCGTTAGTCAGTGGTGTCTAAATAATCACGAAGAAAGTACATATAACTCGGAAGAAGTCACATTGGTACTTGCCGTTGGTAGATTTCGAACTCGCACCCTCATGCATAAGAAGCGGGCGTCCTAACCGTCGGGCCAGTAGTGGCCAGTCGTAGGACCATCTTTCCTATAAGTTCATATTTCTCGGCTGTCAGCGTCGACGGTCAGCGTGCGCTGCGTGCGGTCAACGCGACACTAACCAGACTATAAATTTGGTGGTGAGCGCTGACCACGCGCGCAGATAGCTACGTGTCATTCAAAGACGCTGCGTAGAAGTTCATATATCTCGACTGTCAGCGCCGACGGTCAACGCGACTCTAAAACCAGTCTAAACCAATCCAATGACTTCTCCCGCCCGGGTGAGGCGAGAGGGAGTGTCGGACTCTTGCTGACTAAAAACCACCCCGTTCCTACTCCTGCACTTCGAGCCGTTAAGTCTTCTGCGGCTCCGTAGTCTAAACCAGTCTGTTTGACAAATGCATTACTGCTTTTGAATGTGTGCCCCTGGCATGGCTTGAAACTAGTCGAGTTCCTCGTCAAACCGTTACGTGAGTAAGCCGGAAACATAGTAATCAATGTAGTATAAATACAATGTATAATATAATCTCACAAAAGTTGTAACACAAAAATATTCGGTTATTTTATTTATGTTATTTTACCGCCCTGTTGGGTCAGAATATTATCTTCAAGCTAAATATCTCAGGATCGATTCCCGGGCAAGGTGCAATAATAACATGGATTTTACAATGATGAATATCGTTTTGGTTCTGGTCTGATGACATTCATTGCTCACTGGATGAACATCCGCTGGACTATAGGTCTCCCCTATCAGAGATGTATCACGGGGCACTGCTATCCGATGTCCACCAATAAGCAGTTCTTTAATCGGGTCTCAGACACCCACGGGAAGAGCAGCGGTGGTGACATTTTTATTTTCTTTGAACTGTAACATAAGCCTTAAGTGTCGACTGTTCACAGGGGTGGCAGGTTCAACACCCCGACGAGGTTCACCCGAGGCGGTATAGCGACGAAGATGTTCAGCGTCAACCAGTCGGTCGATCATAGACCGAGGGCTCTGCTTATATCGGGATTCGAAGCCGACGAACTTGATGCTCTAGTCGCACACTTTTCTGTGAGTACCTCTTTTGTGTTATTTTTGAAGAAGCCCTTAGGATCAGAATCAGAAACAGAATATTTTATTTGTATACATTGGTATGTGATGTGTTACAAGTAGGTAGATTCTCCATGTTTTGCCCACAGGTGTAGAAATATTATATACTAGCTTTTATCTTCCCTAATACTTTTGTTTTCCCTCGGGAATATTAAATTTAAAAAGGTTAAAAAGTACCCTATTATTTAATCCGGACTTTTAACTTTACGTCTGCAAAAATTCAAAGCAATCGGTTTAGTAGTTACGGCGTGATAGTGGAACAAACAAACAAACAAACAAACTTTCCCATTTATAATATTAGTAAGGATGTATAGATAATGTTTTATATTAATTACAGCAATACGGCGAGGTGATAAGCAAAGAGGTGGAGTTGTCAGTCCCTCAACTGGTGCTTCAGTACAAGTCTAGACAACACGCCGAGCACGCAATCGCCAACGGAAAACATTACAATGATCGGACATTGTCGGTATGTAACCAATAGGGTAGACGACTAATTTTCATTTTAATGTCCGTCTGGTAGATTATTTAAAAACATTAGATACGTATTTTTTATTTTCTCACAGAAACGAATAGTTTCGAAGATATATTGATTTGAAATGTCGCGTGACGTCACTTCTTAGTACATTTTATACTAAGAAATGACGTTTTAGCCCCCACTCCTTAACTTTGATTCGTTTTATCTAAGTATTGTTTTATTATACGACAAAATAAAAAAATACGTGTCTAATATTTTTTCATTACCTAACTTACGGACTAATTATATTTTTAATTTTCATACCCTGTCATCATCCCCATTGTTCTGTCCATATATTGTCGGTTCTATGCACTTGGTGTCTGTGGTATATTTTGGTGTAATTTCTTAGGTGAGTGAAAATCACTGAAAATCAGTGCTGGGTGACTTGTATGCCTGGCTTACACTGAGTGGGTGACCCTTTTAGCATAGGCATGTTGTCAGCGTCTCTTTTCTAATTCTTCTGTTTCAATTTTTCAACTCTTATATTTTTATTACTTCCACTGTCACACCTTGATTGTCTTTTTTATTTTTATTTATGCTGCATCGTGCCTGGTGCTAAATCAATGTTTTTTCTTTCTTTCTTTCTTTCTAAAACAGTAGAACAATACGTGCGTTTATTGCGATGCACAAATCGATACTACTCTAATTAGGAATAACATAACAACATCACGCCTTTTATCCCCGAAGGGATAGGCAAAGGTGCACATTATGCCACTGGACAATGTAACACCCACTTTTCACTATTTATGTTATGAGTCCCATGTAATAGGGGGTGAGCCTATTGCCATATACCGGGCACAATTTCAGACTCCGTGCTACTACTGAATTTTTTTTAAAAAACCCAGTAATACTTTGTCCGACCCGGGAATCTGCCGAGGGCCGAGTGGTCGCAAGTGCAACGACCGGGCAAGGGGTCTCGGTCTCGATTCCCGGGTCGGGCAAAGTACTACTGGTATTTTTTTTTATTTCCGAGTAGTAGCACGCAGTCTGTCAGTGGGCCTATTATATGTAGTGAAAGTTTTACATTGTACAGTGGCATTAAGTGCTGCGATAGCACCTCTGCCTACCCCTTCGGCCTTCGGGGATGTTATGTGTTCTTATAATAGTAGAGTTGACTACTATTAGAAGCGTTTCTGCCGCCGTTTAATCAATACATATTATTAACAGATAACATGGACGGCGAATACCACAGCGAATGCAAACAGCGCGCCGCGGCCCGCGGACCCACGGCCCGCGCGTAATGGAGACCAGAGAGACGAAAAGGACGAGGTAAATATACTAATACTAGAAATATTAGGATTAAACTGTCAAACACCAAGCGGTTACCGGTGACCGCGACCTATTGTTCTTTAATAACATAACATAACATCACGCCTTTTTATCCCCGAAGGGGTAGGCAGAGGTGCACATTATACCACTGTACTATGTAACACCCACTTTTCACTATTTATGTTATGAGTCCCATGTAATAGGGGGTGAGCCTATTGCCATATACCGGGCACAATTCCAGACTCCGTGCTACTACTGAGAATATTTAAAAAACCCAGTAATACTTTGCCCGACCCGAGAATCGAACCCGAGACCCCTTGTCCGGCAGTCGCACTTACGACCACTCGGCCAACGAGGCAGTCTATCAGTCTGTCAGATTGTTCTTTAATTGTGTCTATAAAACCGGTACTCGACGAGTTAAGATTATATAATACTAGATTTGATGTCGTGGTGGCCCGGAGGTTTAAGACGCCCACTTCTCATGCATGAGGGTGCATCGAAACCTACTAACAGCAAGTACCAATGTGACTTTTTCCGAGTTATATGTACTTTCTAAGATTATTTAGACAAACGGTGAAGGAAAACATCGTAAGAAAACCTAGGCTTATAATTTCTAATTATAAGTTTGAAATCACCAACCCGCATTGAGCAAGCGTGGTGATTAATGCTCAAACCTTCTCCGGGTGAGATGAGGCTTTGCTCAGCAGTGGGCATTTATAGGCTGTTGATGATGATGAATACTAGCTTTTACCCGCGGCTTCGCTCGAGTCACAAAAGGATAAAAAGTAGCCTATGTGACATATACCAATACACACAGCACCATCTATACCAATTCTTTTGTTTTTCCTCGGGAATATCAATTTTTCCGGGTTAAAAAGTACCCTATTATTTAATCCAGACTTCTAACCTTACGTCTGCAAAAATTCAAAGCAATCGGTTTAGTAGTTACGGCGTGAAGGTGGAACAAATAAACAAACAAACAAACTCACTTTCCGATTTATAATATTAGTAAGGACTAGCTTTGATGTCGTGGTGGCCCGGAGGTTTAAGACGCCCACTTCTCATGCATGAGGATGCGGGTTCGAAACCTACTAACAGCAAGTACCAATGTGACTTTTTCCGAGTTATATGCACTTTCTAAGATTATTCAGACACCACTGACAAACGGTGAAGGAAAACATCGTAAGGAAACCTAGGCTTATAATTTCTAATTATAAGTTTGAAATCACCAACCCGCATTGAGCAAGCGTGGTGATTAATGCTCAAACCTTCTCCGGGTGAGATGAGGCTTTGCTCAGCAGTGGGCATTTATAGGCTGTTGATGATGATGAATACTATACTCGGAATTTTAATTCGATTCCAGATTTGACAATTTCAGTGTGGCAACGTTATGACAAGTACTAAATAGTGACGTTGCGAAATTATTCGATATGGAAACGCAATATTTCTGGATCGATTCTTCTCGTTTATAATAATAATAATTTTACTCTCGTGAACTAAGTATATCAGGAAATTATATATTTCTGAACCGATAATTTAGTTTTGACGATTAATTAACAATCTGAGACGTTTCTTTTATAATTGTGTGTGAAATAAATAAAAAATGTAATTATGAAGGAACATGACAAATAAAACATATAGATGTATTATGGTAATAAGTTATTTTATAAATTGTCGCCGTCATCGACATCGCTATCCTGTCACTTTCTGTAACATTTATTATAAAACACACACACTGATTGTTTATCGATTTTTGTGTGCATCACTATACTATTATATGTGGTATCATTATTTCACAAAATGACAGTAGCTATTGTCAAATCTGGAATCTAATTATAATTCTGACTATAGCTTTTACCCGCGGCTTCGCTCGCGTCACAAAAGGATAAAAAGTAGCCTATGTGACATATACCAATACACACAGCGCCGTCTATACTAATACTTTTGTTTTCCCTCGGGAATATCAAATCTTTCCGGGATAAAAAGTACCCTATTATTTAATCCGAACTTCTAACTTTACGTCTGCAAAAATTCAAAGCAATCGGTTTAGTAGTTACGGTGTGAAAGCGGAACAAACAAACAAACTCGCTTTCCGATTTACAATATTAGTAAGGATAAGGATGAAGCATTAGGCATGATACACCATACACGCAGACATAAATAAATAAGATAAAAAAAAAAATTAAAAAACGACAATAACAAAAAATAAATAATAAAAAAACTACGCGTTTTCACCAGCTCTGCTCGGCTCTTATTGGTGAAGTCTTATAGCCTATTATAGCCTTCCTCGATGAATGGTATATCCAAAACAAAAAGAATTATTCAAATCAGCCCAGTAGTTCCTGAGATTAGCACGTGCAAACAAACAGACAAACAAATACTTCAGCTTTATACAATAAGTGTCGTTTTTTAGGTGCGTTCCGTCCACACACTGTATTTTACCTCGTCACGACACTCATAAAATGTTACAAAATATAAATATACATACATAACATCTCGTCTTTATCCCCGAAGGGGTAGGCAGAGGTGCACATTATACCACTGTACAATATAACACCCACTTTTCACTATTTATGACGAGTCCCATATAATAGGGGGTGAGCCTATTGCCATATACCGGGCACAATTCCGGACTCCGTGTTACTACTGAGAATTTTTTAAAAACCCAGTAATACTTTGCCCGACCCGGGAATCGAACCCGAGACCCCCTGCCCGGCCAGTCGCACAAATACAAATAAATACAAATATTGTTTATTTCGTCAATGTATGTATGTTACAATAGATGGTAGGTAATATTATGGTAGTGCGCCACATTGTGTCTGTACAGACATACCAAATTTTTAAGTATAGTATGTTTACAGACAATAATCTTCTCTGTCGCACTTGCAACCAATCGGCCAGCGAGGCAGTGTTACAAAATATACGCACTTAAAACTTATATTTTCTCTCCAGCAGACCCCGGTAGACCTTCCAGAGGACACGTTACTCCGTTTCGACGAGGAGGAGGAGGATGACGCTGACGAAGACAGGTCCTGGAGACGTTGACCTTCGAACCCTCGCCGCAAGAACCGCGGCATATGACCACCATGTGTAATATTATTCTTAATGATAACGTAGTAGATTAAACGTCGATGTTAATAACCAATTTTAACCCAAAATGGGACGTAAATTCGATATTTGTATGGTCTATTTATCCGATATTGAGCGAAAATAGTTTATTAACATCGGCTGTAAAAACAAACGCTGGTTATATAGAATAGAAGAGTTATTTAGCTTTTTAAACCTTCGTAATGAAATTCTAAATTATTTAAAACTTCAATTTTATTCATCTTTGTTTGAATACCATACCAATTTCGTTTGAATGTTAACAATAATGTCTACAGAGAAAATAATAGAGTAGATGATTAATTTTTATTTAAATGTCCGTCTGGTAGATTATTTAAAAACATTACACATGTATTTTTTATTTTCTTACTGAAACGGATACTTTCGACGGTATATCGATTTGAAATGTCGCGTGACGTCACTTCTATGTACGTTTTATACGGAGAAATGACGTAGCTAGCTTCCACTCCTAAACTTTGATTCGTTTTATCTAAGTATTGTTTTATTATACGACAAAATAAAAAAATACGTGTCTAATATTTTTTACGACTAAATAGATTTTTAATTTTCATACCCTGTTATCATGATTGTCGCTTAGCTTGTGAATGATTACGTTTCTATTCTATTCGACCAGCGTTTGTATAACTGATAATACTGTTACATATACTTGTTACTACTTTCTCTATATGATTGTACTTGTATTATATTGTAGGACTAGTTTATGCCCGCGATTTCGTACGCGCGTACCGTTTTCTCCCGTTCCCGTAGTATTCAGCAGTTTTCTGTCTTAAGAACCTTCTAATAATAATAATAACAAAAAAAGAATTAGTGAAATCGGTCCAGCCAATCACGCGTGATGCCGTGACCAAGGGAAAAGGGATTCATTCTTATATATGAGAAAGGTATATTTTGCGCAATATTAATTATAGTGCCCCTTACTAGGATTTTCTCCTGTGTCATAGGTGCGTTTAGAAACATACTAATTCACATATACATCACGTGAAAGACAATTTGTGGATCTCATGAAGAGTTGCTCCGTGCGGGAATCGAATTGGCTGCACGTCCCACGGTTACCGCGCTAACCGTGCAGACTTGATTGCGCAATATTATGTCAATAGTTGCGCAAAAATTGTTTTAAGTTTGCGCATTGTGAGTTAATGTAGCGTTAACTTGCGCTGTTTACCCAATTTTTTAAAGAATTATGAGAAGATAAATGTACCTAATTTGCGCATACTTTAAGCTCATACAATTAAATTTTCAACCTTACGTCTTTAGTATTAAAGTTGATAATCTTACAATATAAAACAAGTACCCTTTATAGTTATTATGAAACGACCGCGTCCTATAAACGAAACTTAATATTAATGTCACAATTATGTGATTGAATTTAACTTAAATAAGATTATAATTAACTATAAATAAACCTCATTTTAACCTTTATTATAAATATCGTTAGACATACTGAATTTTTCGACTGATACCAAGGCCTCACAGAAAACTGACGTGAATCAACGCTTGCGTTGTGTTTCGTCGTGTGAGTGAGGTTACCGGAGGCTCAATTACAACCCCCCTCTCTTCCCCAGTCTCCCCCAACGATCCTCAAATTCCTAATCCCGAAAAGGCCGGTAACGCTCTTGTAACGCCTCTGGTGTTCCAGGTGTCCATGGGCGACGCCGATTGCTTACCATCAGGTGACCGGTCTGCTCGTTTACCGGCTTATGCCATAAAAAAACTAAAACGTTATACTGAGAAAAGCTCTACTATTTTCGAGTTATAGAGGGACTCTTCCTCGTTCACTCGTTCTTTTCGTTATTTTTTCTAATTTATTCAAATATTGTAATTATTTGACTGCCTCGGGTTCGATTCCCGGGTCGGGCAAAGTATTAAGGTTTTTTAAAAAAAACTCAGTAGTAGCACGGGGTCTGGAATTGTGCCCGGTATATGGCAATAGGCTCACCCCCTATTACATGGGACTCATAATATAAATAGTGAAAAGTGGGTGTTACTTCTGTGTGCACCTCTGCCTACCACTTCTGGGATAAAAGACGTGATGTTATGTTATTATTTGCAAAAAAAAAAAATACAAAATTTCTAATCTCGCAAGATCTTGCTTGATCCACATCTAACGAGATTTGCGCTCCCTATTCGCAGCCTCTGGAAACTGATAGATATACTAGCTTGCTAGCTAGCTTTTCTCAGTATATTCTCGTGAGTAACCCGCAATTATTAGTTAATTCAGTATGTTTCACGATAGTTGTTATAAAGATTAAAATGATGGCACATACATACATACAAATACGTATTAAATTAACTAAAATCGCGGGTTACTCACGAGAATATACAGAGAAAAAGTGAGCTACTCGACATCGCCGCGACCGCGCACGCTAGGAAGAACCCCTCTGTGGTTCGAAACTAGTAGAGCTTTTCTCAGTATATTCACGTGAGTAACCCGCGATTTTAGTTAATTTAGTATGTCTCACGATAGTTATTATAAAAACATAAAAAATACGTACTTATTCATTTTTGAAACATTATAGAGATATATATTAAAATAAGTTTATTGTTAAAAGTCTATCTTCTATAATCCACTGTGGGACAGACCTCACTTATAGAATATGGCTTAATCTCCACTGTTTTTTTTTGAGGGGGGGGGGAAATCATCCAGTGACTTATCCCGCCTGGGCGAGGCGGGAGGGAGTGTCAGACTCTTACTGACTGAGAACCACCCTGTTCCTACTGATGCACTTTCAACCGGAGCCCCGGCTACCCGTTACGCCTTCCGCGACTCCATATTGGGCATCAACCCTACTGGGCCCCATCTATGGTGGTCTGATGGCTCTTTGAGGCGCGCGCAGAACGCTACGCACCGTACGTTCGGGTCTTGGTCACTTACGGTGGCCCGAGATCGTAACCTCCACCCCTGGCTAACGGAGTTGGAGATATCAGCTTAAAATGTTTAGGTTTATTCCATGATCAACAACCCTTGACAGTCCACTGCTGGATAGACCTCACCTACATAATATGGCATAATCTCCATGCTTGGCTAACAGGTTGGGGATTGCAGTTTAAAATATTACGTTAATCAGAGAGCGCTATAATTCGGTCTCTGCCTACCCCTTAGACGATTAACAAAGGTGGACTTTTTACAATAAATTTATTTTAATTTTAAAAATCATTGCTATACAAGTGCCTAGTCCAGAGGTTCGATTCTTGAGCCAATCTTAACAAAAGCTCAATAATTTCGCTTGGTTAAGCAACATATACACATATACATGTCATCGAAAAATGATAAATTCCGTAAGTTTAATAATTTTCCTAGGAAATGTATAATTTTCATAGGAATTGTATAATTTTCCTAGGAATTGTACAACTTTATTAGGAATTGTATATGTTTCTGGGAATTTTATAATTTTCCTAGGAAATTAGTTAACTTGTGGTTCTTGTTATTTTCTGATGACATACGTAGTATATACATAATATATATAAATATTTTTACACACACAGATACACCACATGAAAGCAATACTCGAAATAATTACTTATATAGCATATTAACTATGGTAGATTTTGCATTGCGTTATATTATTCATTTTTGATATTTTTTGTGGATAATTCGATGCCCGAATTAGGCAAAAATTTAGAAATTCTCCCTTAAAAGCATGAATTCTTGAATTATTGTCTTGTTTGTTAAAAGGTTAAGTCTAATTGTTGACGTCTAGACAAATATCTCTTCTCACTCGAACGTGAGCATTAATCACCACGCTTGCTCAATGCGGGTTGGCGATTTCAAACAAATTATGAGCCCAGGTTTCCTCACGATGTTTTCCTTTACCGTTTGTCAGTGGTGTCTAAATAATCTTTGAAAGTACATATAACTCGGAAAAAGTCACATTGGTACTTGCCGTTGATAGGTTTCGAGCCCGCACGCACGCGCGAAGCGGGCATCTTGAACCACCGGGGGCACCATGAATAGGTGTATAATAATTAAAAAATAAACATCTTCTATTTTTAAACGTATATTTTGATAATAACATATATTTAAATATTAAGTACATATAAATGAAATTCTTGTGACATAACTTATAGATGACCCATAAACTGCAAGTTAAAAAAGGGCTTGTATGAATTACCCACAAAAAATTACTCAAAATGAATAACATAACATATTGTATAGTCAATAAGCGACAATTTTAAATAGAAACTTAAGAAACGGATTGGTTCTAAGCGCTTATCAAACGTCTTCCAGCCTTTTGTGGGCTCGGAGATCAATAAAGTTCAAATTTATGCATTCACTTAGTCAAAGAATTAGACTATTCGTTTTTAAATAAGGGATCGTATTAGACATAACCAGTCCAATTAATCTATATTTTAGTAGATTTGACTTATGAAAGATAGAATTTTAGACATATTTTGTGTCAAAATTCTGTATGCTTAGGCCAAGATCAATGTTTGTAAACACGTCTGTTCATCGACTTTAATTCCACCGCGACCACACTCATCATCATCATCAACAGCTTATAAATGTCCACTACTGAGCATAGCTTCTTCTCACATGGAGAATGAGAGAGAGATGCGGGTTGGTGATTGCAAACTTAAAATTAGAAATTATAAGCCCAAGTTTCCTCACGATGTTTTCCTTCACCGTTTGTCAGTGGTGTCTAGATAATATTAGAAAGTACATGTAAGTCGGAAAAAGTCACATTGGTACTTGCCGTTGGTAGGTTTCGAACCCGCACCCTCGTGCATGAGAAGCGGTCTTCAACCTCCGGGCCACCACGATCACACTCCCACCTTCTTAACATGCTTTAAAATAGCATGCTATAAGCCGTTCTATTGAGCTCTTTGAGCATGCTCAAAAACGCCCGTCGATTTGCAAGCATGTCTAGAGGTAAAATGAGCATGCTAATTGAGCAACATTCCTACACACATGCTTCTAGAAA